TCAGATCAATATTTTAAAGGAAAATTAGTTTCTCTTCTCCAAGCGGCACTGTCATTTGTTTAAGGAGAAAACCTGAACTGTATTTTATTGGGACAAAATTTGTATATACCTTGTTAATAAAATTGTCTTGTAATTTTAAATAAAACAGATTCAGGATTTTTTGTTGGGAAGTAGTTTCAACCCTTTACACCCCCCACCCCTCCCAACCGCCCCATTTAAAATTTTGGGCATCCACCAATATAAGTTGAACTATAAAATATTTATAGAATAATTAGTACAAACATAATTTAATTCAAGAAATAAAATGATTTGAAATTTGTTTTTAAAAAAATGTATCTATAAACAAAAAAAGAAACATAATTATACGTTGCTGCCATTAAAACAAATGTTATATTCCAGTTGTTTTTTTTTATTCCTTAAAAAATGTTTTAAACTTGCAATTCATTTAAAAATCAAAAGTGTTGTATTCCACCATGATATTTTTTTTTATAAGGTGTCCCCACCTCAGAGACCCAACAAGCTTACACCCCAGGAACGCCTGTTCCAGCATCAGGCTCAGTCACCAAAGTCCAACCTGGCGCCAACCACTTTTAAGGTGACGCAGCACCGGAGGCCTCGAAGTGAAGTTCGTAAATGCAGGAAGGTGTATGGCATGGAGCACCGTGACCAGTGGTGTACACAGTGCAAGTGGAAGAAAGCTTGTACACGGTTCATTGATTGAATTTCATTTCATCCTTTGTCTTTATTATAATCTGTTTTTTTGTGACTAGATTACAGAAAGATCAGGGGGGTTCTCAAAAAATATAGCACTTGCACCTGTGTGGGGTGGTAAGGAACATGGAGAAGTGGGAATAAATCAATAAATATCTTGAATAACAAAATTTTAAGAAGGGCTTCTGTCATTGAGCAAAGATTCTCAAACTCCATAGTTCTAGTGCATGAGATGTTATACTTTGATGATCAGTTTTTCTGGTGGTATTATAAACATTGGCTGTCTGGCAGCGCTAATGCAGTTTAAAATGGAAAATATGTTGCCCTTAAAAAATAGAGTGACTCTCTTCATTAAACAGAGAGTGACCTTTGAATCATTGAAAAGTGACACTGCATTTTTTTTTAAAATTCAATTTTAACTAGCAATATAGCCCATGTCTTTCCATGAAATTAAAGTAGAGGCTGGTGATTCTATTATGAAGGTGCTCATGCAGCTTTCTTTCAGTGGCAGGGCTTAGTGGTTGGGAGGTGGGTTAGATAAAACTTGTATTATATGTGGGAGGCCTGATTTTTCTGTGATGACAACATTGATATTTATGTCTAATTACCAATAAAGATTTATCATTTTTTTTAAATGGCTGTGATGTAACTGGTATTGTAAAGCCAGGGAATTTATTTTTTTTTTTTGTAAAGAAAATTTTATTTGAAACGTAAAATATTTAACAGCTGTAAGTTGAACATAATTTGGAGATTAGAAAAAAAATATGACAAAATGGACACAATGCTGGTTTCTCACTGATGTTAGGCCTACACTGACCTAAATACTTGGTGGTTTAAAGTATTCAAAAGCATTTAACTTAATTGTTAAGGTTTCGTCCTCTGTGACGACATGGCATATTTCTCCCATGTGAAAACTAATTTAAAATAGTCGGAAAAATCATTTGATTGGTTTGGCTACTACATTAGGAAGTTATTTGCTAAAATTTATTCAGTGAGAAATGCCTCAGGCGGTCTTACTGAAAAATATAATTTTTAGGTGTTTTGATTGGGATCCCACCATGACACAACACCTATGAATGCTGTTGGTCCTTACTGAAATTATTTTGAGATTGAGAGTTAAATCTTGGTTGTCCAGTCTAACATAAAGCGTGCAGAATATCTCCACTGGTCAATGTTGTGTTCTTTGATGTACAGAGGCTATGTGAATAATTGAAATGGTAAGAGGTTGATCAGCAGCAGATATATTGTAACATAATAAATCTTCAAACTATAAACTATATGTTATTTGATATCACTTTTATGTACCATTGTGAATCTGCTCATACAAGTATTTTTTCTTTTTTGTGATATTATAATGTTTTAAAAATTATGAAAGTTATTTTTTTTGTTGTTAAACATTGAAAATATTTGTATTAAAAAAAATTCTGGCAAATGAAATTGATAGAACTTGATGGGTGATTAATCATCATCTTTAATAATTTTGGAAATGTATTATGCATGCAATAAGGACATTTTTTTGTTCATTTCTATGCTTATTACCATGTAGTAATGTAAAACAATCTAATATCTCTTCATTGTTCTCATCTCGCTCTTAACTACATGCACACTAATTTCATTTTTTTTTTTTTCATTTCAAGATAACATTATTGGAATAAGCAAAGAGGTCATGTCCAGGTTTTACTGCTAATACTGCAGCTCTATTTTAAGGAACAATCACTGTTATTGACTGCTAATGATATTCAAGCAATAGATGACATTTATTTATCTTAAAAGCATTGTTTTTACAGTAACGGTCTGTAACTGTATGCAATTTACTACTTTTACAAGAGAAGTATAATCAAAGCACAAGTTAAATTCTTTCACATTTTTAACTTAAATTTAATTTAAAATTAAAAACATGTTTAAATCTTCTCCGGTAATGTTTTCCTTGAATCAAAGTAAATACTGAAAAAATTAATGTAATCTACTCGAAATTCATTTTCGATAATCTCCAAAAATTACATTTTTAAAAAATAATTTTATCTCATTTTGTTAAGAAAAGTCAGTACACATGAATAAAAACATTTTTTAACAGTGAGGATTATGATAAAATACTTAACAACGCCTGAAGGATGCCTCCTGCTTTTAATTGATATCATGTTATGTCCCATGAGAAAATAATTTCTCCTGCAGCACATTGGCTTGCAAATCTATTACTGATGTTCATAAAGGATGTACAACCTGTGTACCATAATGTATAGCTGTTTTGCATGAATTAAATATTTGATGCAGTGATTCTTCCAGGTGTTTAACAGATTATCTGCTACTTCCTCATAAAATATTGAGATAAACTTAAACCATTTACGCAGCACATCATAGTTTCCATGGTATATATAATAATATTAATTAACGATGTGATAAATTCACAAAATGGGATTATTCTTTTTTTTTGTTCAACTCACCTTGTTTTTGTTATGTAAACTCTGCTTAGTCATCTTGAAGTTAGCCACAGTTGAACAGTGGCATTTACAGACAAGGCACTAGGTGGATTCTACTCACCTTAAATTTTAGAATTTATTAGACATAGTTCAGGTACAGATGCCTTGAACATTTTTTGCAAAGATGGCATGTCCACACTGACAGTTAGGACAAACAAATTTTGCTCTGTTTATTATCAACTCAATAAGTCAGATCTATTTAGATCATCATTCTATAGTTTTTAAAAATATATTATCCCCTTATCCAAAAATTGATAGATGACTAAATAATTTGACAGAAATTGTTTTTATTTCCATTATTAGTGACTATAAGTACTAGCACAATTTTGAATATATGGTGTAGATTCATTTTAGGATCATAGGCCCTACTTTTATTGTACATTGAAAATCATGATTTTATTTGATAACAGATTTGGCATTTGAATTTTGCTCTCAACGGCAAATTGAAAGGATTGACTGGTCAGTATCACTATACAAAGTTTGCATTGTGTAATTTACTTGTGGAAATATGTATTTTTATTATGTGTTTGATGCTTGTAAATACTTATAGAAGTAGAAAAATTGGCAAATTTAAGTGACTTAAGACATCTTTATTGTCATAATCAGTCACATGAATGATCAGTCTCATGATCAGATACAATGATCATATGGGCACAATGTATAACACAAAAATGGAAATATCCTGTCTCATGTGTATTGAGAGAAAAGGCTCATCAAACATCTGTGGAAACTAAATGCAAAAAAAATATTTAATGCATGTTGTTGAATATCAAGAAGAGAATATGTCAGTATTTAGTTATAATTTGAAAAAGTTATAAATAAAATTGCTTATTCCTTTTAACTTTGGTTGGGGTGGGACAGAGAGAAAAATGAGTTTAAATAATAAGGTTTTTGTAAATATATTGTACATTTGATAATGCCTTAACAATGCAAAAAAATAAAATCAACATGAAACCGGTTGATGTGGAGAGGTTCAGCCCTGCTCCAACAGATAAACCCAGTGAATGTTTGTAATTCTGCTCCAGACATGTAAGGCAGCTGCCATTTTTCAGTGAAATCAGGGCTAATTAACTGTGTTTAATTTCAACTTCTTATTGACCAGGTATATGTATCAATTGAGAATAAACCACCAATGATTTGTATGTGTAGGTTTAGCCTCCTAAGTAAAGACAAACACGTAATAATTTAACAGATATTAGCAATCGCCCGTGTGTTTTATTCTATGAAATTATAATATTTCCTATCTGATTTACTTGCGGATAATATAAAAATACTGGAATTCATTTACTTATATTGAGAAATGAGTTGTGAGGATCTCATCACCGTTATTTCCTTACTGAGGCATTCAGACACCACTATCTATTTGTTCTTTGGCTAACAATTTTTGTTGTTTTGGTCATGTTAAATTAAAGAAAACTCTAGAACTTACTTTAATTTAAAATGAACGTTGAAATTATTTTAGAAACAACTTTCCAACACCAGTGGTGATAGATTTTGAAAATTCTGAAAAGCCTTTAAAAAAAAAGTGTTTTTGTTTATTAAACTTATTTTGTTTGTTAAACCAAATTTATTTTCAGGAATGCTCCAAAATAAGTGTGAACCTATTTTTTCCAGCAAAAAAAAAAAACAACAAACCTTGTCTTTCTGTATTTTTTTTTTGACTGAAGATCTGAACATTCAATGGTTTGCACTTGTACAGTATGTTTGTTAGTGTATATAACTTTCATGTTATGTATAAATTATGTGCATTCTCACCTTAAAAGCATGTGTATCGTGTAATGATGTAAGGAAGCATTGTTCTTTTTTTTTTTTTGCGTGTCAAAAGAATGATTTTCATTTTTCTTTTCACCATGTGTCATATTTTTAATAAACACTATACTTAAATATTATGAGACAGCTGTTGAGCAGGAGGGGGTGAGGATGATTTCTAACACCCTTAATTGGCACATGACTAGATTTTATCTGAATATTAACTTGTTTTTTCAGGTCATGGGTTGGAAATATTTTTAATTCATCTACTGAATTTGAATTTATTGATGACACTATGAACCAGATAGATTATGTTGGTCAGTCAGATCTGGTCTTTAGCTTACAAATCCCCCTCTGTTGTCCATAAAATTCTTGGATAAAATCAGTGTAGCATGGTTCTCAAAACGTCCTCACTTTTCAGGATATTACATTATGTTTCACTTAATTAAACACGAAAGTTGCCCATTCTGTTATAACTTATTAACATAACGTTCTGTACTCCCCCCACCCCCTTTCCAATATGTGTTAGACGATGGCTGCCATTTCCATTTGGACAATTGTTATCCCTATTGTTCACCAGCACCAAAAAAGCATGAGGAAATCAGTTGCCTTTATCCAATGTGCTACAAACAGAACACCATTTCTGTACATAAACAAAAAAAATGCTCATGTTTCCTGTCTGTATTTAGAAAGTTGATTATTTCATTGTTCATCACAAATTGTCTCCCTTACATTTAGTCATTAACGGATATTACATTTAATAATCAGTAATAATTAACATTGTATTATTGCTCATTTGAGTTTTTAAAATTATGATTACAGTAGTTTTCTTATTCATTTCTTTACAGGATATTTTTTCGCATGCTGTAAATTAATGCAAAGATAAAGTTAGGGATAGAAATGAAATTATACAGATAAAAGGTGCATTAGGACGTTAATGTGAGAGCAAGCTTTGCCTAATAAGAAAATTTTTCTTTAAAAAGACTGTTAAGTGCCCTTTTAGTCTAAATAAGAGAACTGTCAAAGCTCAAATGACTTTTTGTTTCACACATGACACATTCCTTAAGTGCAACTGCATTATGGGGGATTTAAATACTACAATTTATAATTCTTAGAAGTTTGATGCAAGTCTGATAAAATTATAAACACTCAATGGTCAGGGAGGGAAATCCCAGTAATATATATTTTGTTTAATGACCGCTATGCGTAGACATCTTTTCAACTTTGGTATGCAGTTTTAAGATTATTAGACATCCCACCTTCTGAAACTAAATAAAATTGCCTGTAAACAAATAAATCATTTGCTCTAGATTTTTATTTGTGGATGGCAATATGGAATTTTTTTTAAACTTGAAAAATTATGAAATAAAAAAATATACTAAGGCATTTTTGTTCGCAGTTTTATTTGACTTTGGTGTGTAATATCTACATGAAACATCATTGACTCTAGTTACCAGACTATTTGACTTTGGTGTGTAATATCTACATGAAACATCAGTGACAGTGACTCTCGTTACCAGACTGTTTGACTTTGGTGTGTAATATCTATGACTACATGAAACATCATTGACTCTAGTTACCAGACTATTTGACTTTGGTGTGTAATATCTTATGATTAAAAACAAACATCTCTCAGAGTTAGCCTTCAAAATTGTATTGTATATATTTAAAGTTCATAATTATAAATATAATCTGGTTATATCAATTATCTTTTTAATTTACGTTAGCGTTACATGGCAATATTAATCTAATCCAAATTAAACTAACAAATCCATTATGATAATTACAATTATTTACACAAATTTAAAGCATGTCATCACAGAGTCTAATATCCATTGACCCAACTGAACATTTTTATGCTCATCTCCTACAATTGACAATAAATATTCTTGGCATTTATTATGGAGCTCTAATAAATTGGGATGGGATAATTTTAAGTTATTGGCATTTTCAGAGTAACACATATGCAAAGTTTGTGTGAAATCTGATAAATGTCTGTCTATACTATCAGCATTTTCAAGCTCAAGTGTTGTTAAACTAATTGCCCCTTTCTCAACGTTAATTGAAACTTTTAAAGAGAATTTTTCCATTGAACATATAGGCCCTACAAAAGTTCTATTAATGGAAAAATTAGGGGTTTTTCCATAGACCCACTCCCAGGATTGAAGTCTTTGCAGAATTCCTGTAATTCCTGGAAAATTAGACTCATTATTAGGATTGATGTCCTGAAAGCTCTGCAGATTCTTCTGAAATGAAATTTTATGCCTTATTTTAAACATTGTCAGATGACATCATAATGACTTTTATTATGGAAGTTATCATCAAGCTCATAAGAAGATCAGATAACCATAACCATGATTTTTTTTAAATTCAATTAATTTCATTAGGAAAATGGATAGTAAAAATGGCTGCTTTGTTGTATATATTTATATGCCTACCTCGCAACCGCCCATCTGAAGAAAATGTTCTCCTATGACATTCACCAGGAGTTCAAAGTTCATGTCTGGTACTTTATCCTTCAAATTCATCACAGATGCTGGAGTGCTCTTAGTAGCTTTGCTATCAGCACCTATCTGGCAAATGATTAAAAAAAAAAGAAATGTGCACCATTTCATTAGATTATATGAAATAAAGATTCAAGTTTTTTAAAACAAATACATCATTAAGTAATAAAAAATAACCCTTTACAAATTAAAAAATTCTGGGAAAAGGGATGCAGATGAAAGACAAAAATAGTCTGCACTGAAGTTTAAAAAAAAAGACACCAAGACACAGGCTAATACTATAAAAATCACTGATACAACAAAACAAAAACTGGAGATTTCCAGACCCACTGTCTTCACTGTACACGCAACTCTATTTAAAAGCATATGTCAGGTGCCTATTGATACTACAGAAGCTAAGATTTTAATATCCCTCACATTGACATTTGTTGTATTCACTCTATTTTTTAAACATGTCCGAAGAACTGTTTTGGTTTCATGGATTTTTTTCCTATTATTAGTCAAGTGTAAGTGTAATGGAGGACAAATGATTTCCTATACGGAAGTTAACATAATAAATAATGAAACTTTGCAAAACATTTCTTGGTATGTTTTTTTTTTTTTTAAAAAAGGAGAAGATCTCACCATCGGGGAGTCTAGGCAGCGTTTCAGCATACACTGGTCAACATTAATCAACAGGGTACAGTGGTGGTAGCTTTGCAGTCGGCCAAGCTTTGCTGCAGTCCCCGACACCTGAAGAGGTTAAAAGATATTTAAAAGAGATAGGTTTTTTTAAAGTTAAAATGTTTGGTGAAAGTTTGGGTATCTCAAAGGCACTAATACTAAAGATTTTGGTTAACACTTCAAACATCAACACTGATACAGGAAATATTGTCTGGAAAGAAAATGCTATTTAAAAGAAGTCTTAGGGGCTCTTCATAATTCTTACCCCACCCTCCCACCTAAAGTATGTCACGCGTCTAAAATATAAAAAAAATTGTTCTAAAAGTTACCAACTAATTAAAATTCAATTTTAAACAAACTTCACAAGTAAAAAGAGACACTACTAAGTACTGAATAAAAATCTGTTAGAAAGCATCCAACAGAAAGTTAAACATCAATGTCAATTCAGCTTTTATATGTATGATAAAAAAATGTATAAATGTATGACATCACATATGATCTATCCCCCCCCCCACACACCTTTGTGTCACAAACTGTCACACTTTCTTAGACCACCCTCCTGATCGTGACATACTTTAAGGACAACGCCTATTAACTAAGAATTTAAAATGCATTCAGTTAATAAGGACAATTACAGTGTTGGGAGAATAAAGGAATAATATTTTTATAATTTGTTTTTCATTATTAAAAATAACAAATCTTATTTAATCACTTTGACAAAAACTTAAACATTATTAAATGAAACAATCCTGTATAATTTTGTAAAGGCCCATCTGTATCATAAAAGAGTTTTTTAATTGATCTATTTGTTCAGTGGGTAGAACTTGCATTCAAGAATTCTTATGACCTTATAAAATCTGTCAAGCATAATGTCATCCCGCTGGTTTACACTAAGGTCTATGTCCCATTTCTTTCTCAGGGCATCAACAATGAGGTCAAGGTTGACCCTTCTATTATATCGCTTGCGAGTGGTCAAGAAGGACAAGTTGAGGTTGGCCTCATCGTGGTATACAGTGCCACCTCCACTTGATCTGTTGTTAGATAAGAATTCTTTCAACAAGAGTTTCAATCAAACTTAATAGGGTATTTCAATTTTCTGCTTTACAATGCAATTCAGTAAATCACATTTTTATTTTTATAACTCAAACTGCTACAGGTAAACTCTTTTACTTAAATGAAAATTTTTTTTTATACTTTTTTTAAATATTTTACCTACAAATCTCAATTTCATATGGCAATGTTATTTGTTACTGAAGTAGATTGGAATTAGATTAGAAGTAGATATAATGTGATTCCCACTTATCCAGTAATTTCTTTTTAAAATAATCAGCAGACATTTAGTTTGTTTTAAAATTCATATAATGAGGATTCATTATACCTATCATACAACTTGTTTCAAAAAGAATTGGAAACCTTCTAGAAATACAAACTCCCTTGCTTGCAGCGAATGGTACATTAGCCTCCAGCCATGGGTTCTGATGCCTTCCAAATACAAGAGCAGGACGGTTCCGCCAAATAAGTAGAATTTCTGCTTTTGAGAAGTCTGTTCGCTCATAAAGCCATTCCTCTAAAGCCAAGTTTTCAAATATGCTGTCGGACGTTGAGACAAAGACTGCGCGTTTTGGTCTATTTTCTTCGCAAGCTAAATGTGAAAACTGAGAATACCAGTTGCATTTTTTCCAGTTAATCAAGAGTTTGTGATTGGCTATTTTCCTTAATAGCATTTTCTTCAAATCCCAATTTAGCTACTGTTTAGGAAATGTTGTGATGTAAGACTGGGGAGAAAATATAAGGAGTTAAAAAAATATTTAAACTGCATTAGTGGAAAGTATATTTTGCTGTCACAAGATCTAACCAAATGTTTTAAAAGTTAAAAAGTTATTAGGTTATTCAGTAAAATTTGGAAAACCTGACTTGAATGTTTAGAACGCTACAGGGATGATATGAAATAAATAACATATTACACATGCCATACAGTATTAAATAATGAGCAAATAACCACTACCGGGTACTAATATGCTTAGTAAAGCAAAAATGAATTATTTTTTTAAATTGGGCTCATCAGTCTTAGGTCAGGGATGACTAAGGCAAGGCAAGTTGTGAAAATTAGTCTGCCACAATGTGACGATGGCGTATACTTCACAGGACAGAATCATAAGGCCTGGGATTTTTCTTTAGGAGGATAACTTGTTTCCCAAACAGCAAATCACCTCTCTCCATGCATCTGGATGATACAGCTTAGTACCCGTAGCGTTTCAGGAGTTGCCAGAATTTTCATTAAGTTAATGTCATACCACCTATGGTAGTCCAGGTTTGAATTCAGAGTTCTCCCCTTAGATGAGTTGCCATCCAAGGTACTAGTCCCATTCACCTAGGGGGGCTGCTGATATTATTGCTTGTCTAGGCTTTTTTTTTTTTGGGTGGGAGGGGGGGGGGGTTTGAACTTCAATCCACAAAGATTGGAAATAAGGCAATTTAGACCTCACATTTCCATCCAGCCACCCCAGAAAATTATTAAGAACAAAAATAACAAGGGCCTAATGTTTAATTGATTTCTTTAGGCTTATGCCTACCTACTTGATATTTATTAATAAAATAAAATACATTTTATAGTAGGCCCTAAGCTGTTACAACACCCTTCCCTAGAATCACAAATTACCCACCCCCGTAAACAAATATTACATTATAAATCTGTTTTCCCATAAAAAAATAAATAATTTTAAACATTTAAATCTTGAAATCATTCAATTTCATTGTAACTGATGATGATTAAGTACTTTTATAGCACTTGTGTCCGTGATATTTTAGCATGCTCACCGCGCTCTGACTCTGATGTCTTAAAATCTATATATTGTTTAATCTCATTATCTTGTCCAATGTCAATCTGCCTTATACTAATAGTTATCTGCTATTTTAATGTCATCTAATCCACAAAAACTACTACTATTTGCAAATTTTGATAACAATTTTCAGAAACTTCATTATTTTAAAATTTAAATATAGTTGTGCTTCTGTTTCCTACACAAAAAAAATCCTGAGGTCTGTGTAGTTCAGTAGAGAAATTCACTCAGTTCACCCCTGTCTTGTTTGTAACCTTTCCATTTACAAACTCAAACATTTACCTACTCTATGGATATAGGCTATAGAATCACTGCACTTGTCAAAAAACTTTCTCTTGATCATTTACTAAAAATTATTTCTCCTGTTGACTATTTTTCGTTCTTTCACAGACCCCTAACTCCCAGACTCTTCTCTAAAGCCCTCTTCTACTATTTTTACATGATTTATCATGAATATCACTGCACCTTCAACTCTTGTCCTCCATGCCATGCTGTCCTGAAACGATAGTGAAAGTCATGGACCATAGCAACAACTGTCAGAGCCCGTTTTGGACATATGTATGGGATGTAGAGAATTAGTTTACAGGTATGAGACTGCTAGTTCCACACAGTACTAATTTGCTCTGTAGTAATTATGTGATCACAGTATATATATAAAAAACATTGTAATTGTATCAAACACAATCAATAAAATATTTACAATTGAAAGATACATAATCATAAATCATTTGTCTCATTTGTTTAAAAAATTAAAATTGGTTTAGCCAAGTAGAAGTATTAATAAATTATGGCATAAGTTACTTTAATAATTCAGTTCATTAATTTTTAAAATACCAAACTATGTTCAAAGTTGTACTTCTTATGTGATGTCATACTGCTTTAACCCCCACCCCCCCCCCCCCCTATTAATAAATTATGGCATAAGTTACTTTAATAATTTAGTTCATTAATTTTTAAAATACCAAACTATGTTCAAAGTTGTACTTCTTATGTGATGTCATACTGCTTTAACCCCCACCCCCCCCCCCCTTTTAAAACCAAAATGTAATATGTGACAACCACCCAAATACTGATTTACAGTAATTTATGGAAAGCCGCCTAGGACATCTTGGTACGTTGCTTTGGCTTAACTTGATTAAAAATGTAACCTTAAAATTAATTGAATGCTTGATAACACAAGCACTGCACAGACTAAAAGGTAACTATATTATAATCGACAACAAACAACACTAACAACAGCAAGATGAAGTAGGGATTCTAAATGAGCAGTTGAGAATTTCGCTGCGCGGAGAATTTTTTTTTTTTAATAGGGTCGCACTAAGTGCTAAGCATCATAACTTTTGCTCCTTTACGTTTGTTGGACTGGAAGCGACGGATTTAGAAAGTACTGATGTTGATTTTATTCTAATATTGGTTTACAAGGTTAAAAATAAAAATTCATCTGGTAAATATAGAGGACGATGCCCGGGGTTTCCCCATCATGGCCGCCATCTTTGTTGACATTATCCGTGAGAAGATCACGGACCGTGTCAATCAAGATGGCGGCCTATTTAATTTACCGAGGGTAGTGTTGTTTCAGATGTTGGCTAAAATTAAGAACGAATGCCACGGCGACTTTTGCTTGGTTACTGAATTAGGGTTTTGGGATACATTTAGGGTTCAGGGCTGATATTAAGGAGGGATGCCGCGGGGTCTTTTGTGTGTTTATTGTTATAGTTGCAGTGAATTAGGGCAGGGTTAGTTTAGGGGTAGTTTAGGTTAGGTTGAGTTGGAGGGATGGATTTAGTGTTCAGGTTAGGCATAGGGATCGATTTAGGGTTCAGGTTAGGCATAGGGATCGATTTAGGGTTCAGGTTAGGCATAGGGATCGATTTAGGGTTCAGGTTAGGCATAGGGATCGATTTTGGGTTCAGGTGAGGCATAGGGATCGATTTAGGGATACATTCGTGAAATTCGATAAAAATGTGGCATTCCTCCTTAAAATTTACAGGGTTCAGGTTGGTTAGGTTTAGGCTTAGGGATACATTTAGGGTTCAGGTTGGGTTTAGGGATACATTTACTTAGATTTAGTGGCAGAATTAACTGGTCTTGTCAATCAAGATGGCAGCCATTGGAAAAAAAATATGGCATCTCTTCTTTGGATTTACCCAGATGTTTTTTGCTAAAGTTAGTTTTGTTATTGAATTCTATTTCTGCTCTCAACTTAAAGCAGACATGTTTGTTGTTCATTTGACACTTTTCTTTAACTTTAAGAAAAAATTTGATGGTTTGACTTTGAAAATTAATGGTAAATAGGGGGCCGTCCATAAACTTAGTACGTCACGCTTCGGGGGGGGGGGCGGTGTAAGAAAGTGTGAGACTTTGTGATGTGGTTGGAGGAGGTGTCAGGTCATATGTGACATCACACATTTATTTTTAAAAATTTCATTTCTAATTTATCTTTTAGTTTTTTAGTAGAATTTAATAGCTATAAAAATAATTTTCAAAAATGTTGTGAAACATTTGAATTAAGCTCAAACATGAAGGTGATTCAAGGTACAGCGACAACAGACGAGCTGTGGGTGAAGTTCAAGACTACAATCACTGATGCAGTGAAGAAATTTATACCACACCAAATCACCAAACCTAGGATAAATCAGCCATGGGTCACAGCTGAAATCCGTAGGCTCATCCACAGGAGAGACCGCCAATACAAACGCATGAAGAAAAATGGCTCGATGGAACTGAGAGAGGAGGTACTGAGACTCCGCCGAACCATTCAACGCTTATTGCGTAGATCGTATTGGAACTACATGAACGGCATCTTCTCAGAGGAAGACACCCCGACCAAAGATGTCAAGAACAAGCGCTTCTGGAGCTATGTGAAACACCAAAAGTCCTCAAACGCTGGAGTTTCCCCCTTGAGGTGGGATGGCCAATTGACATCTGACCCAAAAGCACAGGCGGAGATACTCAATCAGCAGTTCCAGTCGGTCTTTGGTGACGGTAGAGAGTACTCTGAGACTGAGTTCCTTCTGAAAACCAAAATGATGAACAGAGCCTATCCTATCATGGGAGATATCCAGATATCAGAACAAGGTGTGTTTGCCCTCCTCAATACCATTAATCCTTACAAAGCATGTGGTCCTGACCACATTAAACCACGAGTGCTCAAAGAATTAGCCAAAGAAATCGCTCCTGCACTGACAATCCTCTTCCAATCGTCACTATGCACAGGAAATGTTCCAGCAGACTGGAGAACAGCGCATGTCACTCCAATTTACAAGAAAGGGGAGCATTCCGACCCTGCCAACTATCGTCCGATATCCCTCACTAGCGTCGTCTGCAAACTGTTGGAGCACATAATCGTAAGCTCTGTCATGAAGCATCTTGAAAGCCAAAATATACTCAATGACTGTCAACATGGCTTCCGAGTCAATAGGTCATGTGAGACCCAGCTTCTCGAATTTGTAGAAGACTTGATGACCAATCTGGAGAACCACAAGCAGACTGACGTGCTAGTAATGGACTTCGCAAAAGCATTTGACCGGGTGAATCATAGTTTGCTTCTACACAAACTCCAGATATATGGGATTCAAGGCACCACTAAAACATGGATCTCTAGCTTCCTCAGCCACCGACGCCAAGCAGTAGTGGTGGGCGGTACAAGCTCCTCCTTTGTCAATGTGAAGTCAGGGGTCCCCCAGGGATCAGTCCTGGGCCCCTGTTTGTTCCTAGCATACATTAATGACCTACCGGAGAAACTGACATCACAGGCAAGACTGTTTGCAGATGACACAGCAGTGTATAGGACGATCGCCAACAGATCTGACCAGGACCAGCTACAACAGGATCTCAATCTGTTAGCTGAGTGGGAGATGAGCTGGGACATGGAATTTCACCCTGCCAAGTGCCAGACACTATCAATCTCTAGAAGTTGTACTCCTCTACACTACCAATACAAACTGCACGGCCATATTCTTGAGCAAGTTTCCTCCGTAAAGTACCTGGGTGTTACCATTCAAAGAGAGGTCCGCTGGGACGAGCATATTAACAATGTATGTAACCAAGCAAACCAAGCCTTGGGGTTCTTAAGGCGAAATCTAAAGATTGGCAACTCCTGTGTGAAAGAAAGAGCATATAAAGCCTTTATCCGTCCGATTTTAGATTATGCATCTTCAGTCTGGGACCCATTTACCCAGAAGAGCATTGACAGGTTGGAGGCGGTCCAGCGACGAGCAGCACGCTTTGTCCTAAACCGCTACAGGAATACCTCTAGTGTTGGCAGCATGCTAGAAACACTAGGCTGGTCACCATTGGAGAAACGACGACGACAATCCAGGCTCTCCATGATGTACAAGATAAATAATGGGCTGGTCCACTGTTCCAGTATTAAACAGAAACTCGTCCCTCTCCCCCATAGACAGCGACGAGGCCATGACAGGCAATTCAGGCTCATACCAGCAAGAAGCCAGTATAGGAGCTGCTCATTCCTGCCCAAGACAATCAGGGACTGGAACCATCTTTCAAAAGGAACAGTTGAGGCGACAACACTAGACACATTTGTGTCTATTGCCTCAAGCCTTCAAACCCCTAGTGCATAATTTCCTCATCACCACCAGTAACAGAAACATTGCAAATCCCATCTACATGCATAGGAGCCAAAATGATCAATAAATTGATCGTGGGCCCTTAAGATATAGAAGAAGAAGAAGATTAGTTTTATGTCAAAATAGCATGAAATGCGTATCTCCTGAATGTCTTGTTCACGATTCCTCTCGCTAGGAGCGCTAGTAACTATTGTACTATTAAAGTCATTTTAATAATGTGATAGTTCTTTGAAGTGGAAATTTTATATTTTAATACAGTTTAATAGTGATTTATTAATGATTATTACAACTAATATTATATGTAATTATTGTATAATATATATATATATATATATATATATATATATATATCAGAATAGATTTTAAAATCGCCAGGTTTTTTTTTCAACAAGTGGTTGTGTGTCAGACAATTGATCTCACAAAAAACTTACTGTTAATGACTTTATCACTTGTTTGAAGGTTTCACTAAATATTCAATGATGCCAGTCTGCGGCCCTCATAATTGATTGTATATCTGGCAGGTCCGTGGCAAGGGAGATGTGCAAGACAAACCAAACTTTTGCTGGAGCGGAGGCAGAGAACAGCTCTCCTGTCTTGGAGGATGAACAAAAAAGACAGCTGTCTGAGAAATGTCCTGACAGCATAGCCCATCAGGTTAGCTCAAAAGGTAGTTATCATAAAAATGTCGGTTTCTTTACCTAATATGTAGCTCTACTTGTCAGTTTATACATTGAATAAAATAGGTAATTTATTATTATTTTTTTGTTTACAATATCAGTCATATTAATTTTAATTAAAGATTATTCAGTTTAAATTTTTTCTTTCAACAAATATAAAACTTATTAAATACCTTTTCTATTTGAGATGCTTTTCTTGGCTGATGTCTTTCATGGATAATGTCTGTCATGGCTAATTTCTTAAATGTCTGTCATGGCTAATTTCTTAAATGTCTGTCATGGCTAATTTCTTAAATGTCTGTCATGGCTAATTTCTTAAATGTCTGTCATGGCTAATTTCTTAAATGTCTGTCATGGCTAATTTCTTAAATGTCTGTCATGGCTAATTTCTTAAATGTCTGTCATGGCTAATTTCTTAAATGTCTGTCATGGCTAATTTCTTAAATGTCTGTCATGGCTAATTTCTTAAATGTCTGTCATGGCTAATTTCTTAAATGTCTGTCGTGGCTAAAGTACTTCATGGAAAATGTCTTTTATGACTAATGTCTTTTATTGCTAATATCTTTCCTGGCTAATTTCTGTCATGACTATTGTCTTCCATGGTTAACTTTCCACAAACTGTTTTACCGGTAACTGGGAGTGACCCCGGATAAGATTTAAACCCACTGGCACTAAAACATGAGACAGAGAATGTTACCATGATATCTGAAGGCAGTGGCACACTGGTTACCTTCAATTATTGAATAATCTAAATTTTAATAAATTTGAAATATTAGTTTTAAAGATGGGGAACATTTAAAGCTCTGTGCGATTCATTTCCTGGTCCATGCAGTACAAACCAGATAAAGTCATAGAGTTTCATGTATGTTTTTTTTTTTTCAGTTTCCTGTACCATCAATTACATTTTATTTAATCAATAATACTATTTTATTTATTTGAGATGTAGAGATTTTAATTAAAAACAATAGAATTATTATTTTAACATTTAAATTTAAATAATTTTTTATTAATAAATTGTTCTCTTAAAACTCTTGGACTCTGCATATCTTCTCCACTATGTATAACTGTTTATAATTGGCATCACTAAGCTTGCAAATCTGTAATTGGCACCTCTCA